TTCATGAATAGGTAATCACTTTCTACAGACAATAAGCAATGTTCCTATAAGCCCTGAGAAATAACTAATTAATTTTCCAAGTGAGCAAACATTATTTTGTAGTCCTGAAAACCTGGGGAGGAATCTAAAGATAGTGAATAGCTGTGTGTTTCTAATTTTCAAAAGAAGATTAAAAGGGCCCTTGGTCCTCATTGTTTAGCTACTTCAAATCCTATCAAAATAATAGAACCTAAATTAGCACAAGAAATAAATTTTCACTCTCCTAGAAAATAAGAAAGCAAGGAGTAGCTTTTGTTTATGAAGTCGATTAGTCTGAATAAATTTGATGACTTGTTGAAGTTTCAAAATGAAATATAATCCCAAGTATTCTAGATTCAAGGCCTTAATAATAATAAAACACTTGATAAAGCCCCATGAATTCTCTCTACTATGCTAATGTAAGATGACTTAGATTTTTAAAAGTTGGCTGAGAGTTTTCAGCTGAAGAGAAAATAGATGTAAGTCATTTAAGGAAAAGGTATAAATTGGCAAATTTAGAGGAACTGGAGGTAGGATCAACCAAATCCCAATGATTTAGAATGAGTGGGCGTTTTCTGAGAAACTAATTAAAATGTCCCAAACATCTATTTTTAAGTTACAGAAAATATAAAAGTTTAGATAAATACCACAGGAAAATGAGGTGAGATTTTGAAAAACAAGAATTATCTGTAAAGAAAAAGAAAAACTTAATATTGAGCTCAAAATTGGGCAGAAATCTATGGAGAGGTTAACAGTGTTCAGGATCCCTGAGTATTGGTTGAGATATAGGAATGAGGAAGGGCGGGATCCGTAGGGAGAATCTATACTGGAGAGAATGGTAGTACAGTGTGATGTAGGCAAATGTCACAGACCAGTGAACGTATCATTAATGCATTTGAAGTGCTCAAAATGAATGCAGCAAAAACAGCAAAACACAATCTGATTTTTAATAAAGCTGCATATTTATTTAATGAATTTATATATATTTTTTAAGACAGGGTCTCATTATGTAGCCCAGGCTAGCCTTGAACTCATGATCCTCTTGCCTAATTCTCCCAAGTGCCGGGATTACATATGTGTACCACCCTACCTGGCTCAGGAAGGCTGTGTTTTAAATCATGACCTTAAGTTGTATCTACTTTACTCTTCACCAGATTAACACCCCACCACCATCTAATGTACAGAAATAAACAGAAAATTACATTCTTTCTCTAATGGTTCAAAGAACATGCAAAGGTCCGGTAGCCTTCCCTGGGGCTGCCACTGGCTCTCTCCATTCTCCCACCCCTGTGATAGGTTTCCCTTGACCTGATACTTTATAGATCCAAAGTTTTCTCCCTAGAAGTATATCTGAGTGGGAGAATCCCAATCATGCCTGGGGTAGTTTGTACTTTTTCAATCATCCATAAATTTATTGATTTATAGTTATGAATTTGTGAAATGGGAATATTCTGGTCTTGGCAAGACAGTACCTTCCAAGAGACAGTGGATGTCTGTGATACATCTTAACCATAACCAAGTACCTCGTGTTATTGCTACAGACACAACAGTAAATAAGTTGAAAGATCCTCAAGATGTTGACAGCTTTCACATATGGTACTAATGTGTTTGTGTCAGTTATTTCCTTAAAACCATAATTAGTAAATATAAGGAAGTTTACGAAACTTCTTTTTTCTTACAAAAAAGAAGTAAGTTTGCTGAGCACCATAATACCATCAAAAAGTATAACTGTCCTCAACAAGCTACTGATGATGCTCTCTACATCATAGTGTATGCTTTGGCCTTGGCATCCCATTGAAATTATGCACGTTTGGGTCTGGAGGTCTCTTACCCAACTGAAAAGACATGGGCTTTGAAAGGCACAATGGTTTGGCCAAATGGCACATATAGGCAATGAGAGTAGAGCCTGCTATAGAGTTTCTAGAAATTGGCTGCTGGGTGAGTCCTTAAAACATGTTGCCATCATTCTCCCTCCTGTTCACCTTCTTTCTATTAGCATTTAAAAAAAATGCCGAGAAATAGTCATCCAAAAGAGCATTTTGCAAGAGCAAAATGCAAATATGTGTATTTGCATTTCAAATATCAATCAAATGAATCAATACATTGCCTCTACTGGCTTACCGCACTCCTATGCATTAAAAATTTAGCATTTGCACCACAAAAAAATTCTCTTTTCATTTGCTATGGCATTCTAACAATATTATGGCAAACTGCAGAGTATGTAAGCCACTAAAACTGACTTATTTTAATCAGTCATCCAGGTTTTATTTGGTTTGTACCCAATTTTACATGGTTTTAATTATTTAAAAATGCAGACATATGTCTTAGTCCATTTTCTGTTGCTATCACAAAATATATGAGACTAGATCATTTATAAAGAATAAAGGTCTATAGCCAGTACTAGTGTCTCACACCTGTAATTCTAGCTACTCAGGAGGCAGAGATCAGAAGGATCAAGGTTTGATGACAGCTGGGGCAAATAGTTTGTGAGGCCCTATCCTGAAAAAAACCATCACAAAAAAGGAGCTAGCAAATGGCTCAAGATGTAGGCCCTGAGTTCAAACTCCAGTACCTCACACACACACAACATATGGTCAGACAGAGAAAGCTAACCAGAAAAAGCTCACTTTTAGAGCAAAGCCACTCCCATGATAATTTCATTATCCTCATTCATGAGGACAGAACCTCTTTCAAGCCCCACTTCCCAACATCTCCACAATACATAATCAAATTTCAAATGGGAGTTTAGTCAGAGACAAACCATGTTTCAACACTTGCTCCTAGCATTTCGTCTTTGGATTTATTTAGGAAATGAAGTATTGCTCTGTGGTTTCAGAAAAAAATTAATAAATATCTCTAAATAGATGGTAATTTCATGTTCGTTTTCAGAGAGATTTAGCTACATTAGCAGTGCTATTTCCCGACACCCACAATCTTCTAAATTGACTTATTTGATGCTCGTCAGATCTATTTTTCTAAAGACTGGGATTTTATCTGTGTTGCTGCCTTTGAAACGCTCTCCATGATTGTGAATCTATCTAATGTAATTTTCACATTTGATGCCATTTTTCTCAAATGACAATACAGGGCAGGAATAACTATGTGGCAGTGTTTCAATACCAATTTGGTACTTTGACTCAAAATATGGATGAAATATTAGCAAGAAAGAGGAAAAGTTGAAAGTCCCTGAGTATTATAGTCAAACAGATGAGTCCCTTTGCAGAAAGAAATGGAGGCTCCCAGAGTTGCTCTGTCCCTTTTACTAAAACTTTTCCAGAAACCTAGTTTCTACTCTGGCCCCTTTCATGTTCAGACCATATCTTACTACCCTCAGCATTTGTGTGTGTGTGTGTTGCTGATGTTATAAATTCATCATTTTCATATTCATTCTTTCTCTTCCGCCCCTCTCTCCCCTTTGCCTACAGTTAAACCCTAAGAAAATGTGTCTTACCTCTTATCCAAGTTAAGGAAGGACTTTGAACTTTGGCACTAAATGATAAACAACGTGAGCGTAAATACTCTGCAACTCGAAAGTATTTAAGTTATTTAAAAGGAATCGTCCTCATTTCATTACAGGCAGAATGAGTCTACCTTCTCCCACTCCAGTAGGAAGGGAAGTCAGTCCTCAGCAGTGAACCTAGTGGAGTATGAGTGCCCAGTGCTTCTTTAACTGGGTAACTTGGAATTCTGCCACTTGGCCTGAATTTGCCTCTCTCTGAGGACGCTCAGGCGAGTGTCCGGACCCCGCGCCAGGGACCGGTGGCTCCACCTTCGCAAACTCGCACCCTGGCTGTCCTTGTGTAGAAAAGGTCTCCGAGTGTTGTGGACACAGGCGTGTCCATCCCGCCGCGTCTTTCCAGCAGGCAGGCAGCCGGGACTCCTCACGTCTCTCCTAATCGCCCTCGCTGCCGGGGGCGACCGGGTGTCCCGCTGGATTCCCAGCTACTTACTTCCTGACCTGCCCGGCGCCTACCAAAAATAAACAACAACAACAAAAAAAAACCCTGATGCTTGCAGTCTCGCCCACATGGGTCACCTCTAGAAGGTTGCTTTACCAACCCTCCCAGGATCAACAAGGGGAGCAACTCCCCCCCATCCCCCCGGATTTGCCCAAAGTGGCCGGAGAGGGATTAATGTTTGCTTTGTTATGTGGAGAAGAGGAGGCAAGTATGGTGTGTGTGTGTGTGTGTGTGTGAGAAAGAGAGAGAGGAGAGAGAGGAGAGAGAGAGAGAGAGAGAGAGAGAGAGAGAGAGAGAGAGAGAGAGACAGTAGTTTTGCAGCGAGGAGGAGGAATCCGGAGAGGTCGGTGCCCCAGCTCCCCTGGGGGCCTGAGAGCCGCGCACGCCGTAATTCCCTTTCCAGAGCCTTACAGATTTCCACAAACAATGACATCACTCCGGCGCCACCGTCTGATTACAGCTGGGGGGATTTTCCTGGGCGCGCGGCGTCCGGGCGGAGACCGAGCTGCTCTCAGGGCTCTGCACCCGGCGGGTGCGCGGGCTGGCGGCGCGGCGCCCCCCGCCGGCGGAGGCGGCCGGACCCGGCCGGGGGCGGGCAGGGGCGGGCCTGGGGCGGCCCGGGGCGGGGCGCGCCCCTTCTCCGGTTCCCATTGGCCACGGGCGGGCGCGCGTCACCCAGCCTGGTGCTCGCCTCCAGCCCCTGTGGAATTGGAGGCGAGGAGGAGCTGAAAATGCAGATTTAGCATCAAGCACAGACGTACACTCGCTCTTTCTCTCCGGTACACACAGCTCCCACATTCGCACCCCTACCCGCCAGCCGTGCCGCCTGACTCCACGCCTTCCCCGCCAGCCAGACGGCGAAGAACACACACTGATTTGCTGCTTTCCAAGCCCCTATTCAATCTCTCTATATATACAGATTAAAAAAATACATATCTATTTTTTATTTGCATCTTCCCTCCGCGTCCCCTGCTCCACCAGCCTGCGCGCCTTCTTAGCCCCGCTTTTCACTCCCAAAGAAGGATGAAGGGTGGTTGTGGATCCCAGTGGAAGGCAGCCGCCGGGCTCCTCTTCTGTGTCACGGTTTTTGCATCTGCCGAGAGACCAGTCTTCACGAATCATTTTCTTGTGGAGTTGCATAAAGGAGGAGAGGAAGAAGCTCGCCAAGTTGCAGCAGAGCACGGCTTTGGAGTCCGAAAGGTAAGCTCCCCCATGCATTTCGCATGTTGTTTTCAAAAGAGGGGCAGCCCTGCGTAATCTCCTTGCAGATTTGCAAGTTTTCTGTTTTCCTCACGCCATGCAGATAATTCTGCTATCGGCTTTTAAACACGACATTGCCTCTGGTGATCTTTCATGGGTTATGTAATTAAAATGTCCTTCATCTGTACTAGTAAGGTCATCAAAATAATTTATTGCTCTTTGACATGGTGTGGGAAATAGGATAACACCTTGCAAAGGATGCCACGCGCCCGGGCTGCTGTCCGAGGTACCAAGTTCTCCAGGATGTCTGGGGATGGAGGGATGAAGCCCTGAACAGCCGGGCTTGATGTTGGCTGCTTTGGCAGGGACGTCTCCCCCACCCCCAACCCCCACCCCTGGGGAAGAATAGTTTCCCACCAACAGGACTCAGAGATCGGACATTGCATTTCACCTCGGTGCTTCTCCGACCCCGTTTCTGGAGGACTTTCCTCCCAGTGACTTCAGTCCTTGCTCTTTTCTAAAGACAAGAGCTTCCTGACTCTAAAAGACTGAGAAACATGAACTGGTCTCTCTTTCCAAAATCAGGGCGGAACTTCTGCGCTCTCGCCCCCCGCCCACGACCGCCCACCCTGGAGCGCACTCCTGGTTGGCTCCCCAGTTCTCAATTCCCTGCTCTAAGAAACCAGCGGGAGAGGTAGGTTTTGAGGGGGATTCCCTATGGAGAAGTCGAGGTGTCCTCTCCAGATATGTGGGAGGCCAGCCTGGTTTTCCCAGGAGAGCGCGGGGATCCCCATTCCAAGAAGTTGGCAGAGTTCAACTGTTTAGACAGCTAGATGAGGCTCGCGACCTCGGACGTCTCTGGAAACTCTAGGGTACCCATCCTGGAAGGATGGGGGGAGAAGAGAGTGCTGGGCGGGAGCCGTGGCTGACCTGCTTGCTCTTCCTGTGAAATATCTGTGTTCGAGATCTCGAGTGTCCTTAGGGGACCTGCAGTCCCGCTGGTTAGGGAGAGGATGCGGGGAGAAACTGGGGTGCGGGGAACCTGAAGGACAGAGGGATGCAATCAAGCTGAGTGGAAGTCTGCAGATTCCGGGTCGCATCTCCTCCCTCTTGATCCCACCAGGGGAGAGGCGTGGGATGAGTGCTATCTTGTGTGTTGATTTTGCGTTGGAGGGCCGCGCCGACTGGGGCTCCTGTCCGTCTGCTCTGTCTTGACTTCCCATGCCTCCCGCCACTCCCAGCCACCTCCAGGGGTCCTTCAGGGTCGGCGGGCTCTCTTGCCTTCATAGGGCGTAGGCAGCCGCTCCGATTTCCACCCAGGTGGATCTGGCAATAACTTTGACAGAGGTCTTGCGATGACGTGCCGGGTCTACCTAAGGTGCGATAGCGGGTTCTCTCGAAAAGAACTTGTTGCTCCCGGGCAGCATGGGTGGAGCAAGGGGGAGAGAAGGCACCGGCTGAGCAAGCAGCCCCCTGTCCTTCTGGCCCACCCCAGGGAGTCTGTTTCCAGATGGCGTCCAGCACTGTAAACCAGCAGACCCCTCTTCTTCCTCTCCACCCCAAACTTGGCAGAACCCTGGACCCAGGCACCCATTACAAAATATGATGGTGATTATTATTTACTGACAGTTACTGGAACCTTTCTGTGTTGGAGGCCTCACGTGCATTCTCATTTAATCTTCCCAACAATTCTTAGGAAGCTACTATTGTTAGTGAGTCCATGGGATGAAGGAGAACAATAGTTGGGACAGAGGCCCCAAATAAAAACAGGTAAGGATTTCAATGCTGCTCTTTCAGAGGTGAGCCTGTGCTCCTTACCCCTTTGGACAAAGCAAAGGAAATTAGGAGCTCTTGGGGTTTATGAGCCTAGGGTGTGCTGAAAGGGACTGTGGCAGCAGACTTCTTCATTCTTGAGTGTAGAAAGTCGCAGCTGAGGTAGGTATACCTGTGGCTCCATCCCCCTGCCAGGCACATTTAACAGAGTGGCAGACACTGTTGTCTGTGGTTTTCTTTTCTCTTTTCTTTCCTCTGAGTATATGTCCTTAGAATCTGATGGTAGAAACTTAATCAAACTTAGGTGGAGCTAAGAATGATAATAGTTTAACTTACAATTCTCCAAGAGGGAGATTTTTTTTTTCAATCAAATAGACAACTTAATAAGGGATTTACATCTTTGAAGATGAAATTGGAGAACGGAGGTGTAGAGACAATTTTATTGTATATGGAACACTTTTACAGACTTATCTTAAAACCACAGGAAACCTTAGCTTGGGATGATAAGTAGGCCTCTTTCGACCCCATTCTTTCTTAGAGAGAAACCCACTGATTACGCATCACAGCCTCAAACCTGCAGTTCCCATTTAGAGAAAGGCTCTTACTCTACCTTCTTTCTCATCTCTTGATAACCTCTCAAGTCTTCCTTCTTAACCAAAGCCAGTGGGTTTTCCACTAACACATAGATACTTCTGCCACGTAAGTCTGTACGGTATATCTTTCTCAAATAAACCCTCTTTCCCCCCTTTTGATTCATGAGCTGCCCATCCATCAAGATCTGCATCCAAACCTTCCTTGAGGCTTTGGACCACAATAAGCTTTCCCCTCTTTAAATTCCTACAGGGCTAATAGAGAAAGCCTACCTTAGGGGAAGCTAGTACATCACCTGTCCTCAGTCATGCACATGAGTAGAGGAGAGTGTAGGCATTGTTTTTCCACAAAAAGCTAAATATATTGGATAATATTGTTCATATTTCTTGTTTCCTTGCCATAACCAGCACACTACTGTGCTTGCCAGCCTTTGAAGAAACTTTCTCAGCTTAAATCATTATTCCAAGTTTCCCAAGCCCTATCCTGTCTTGCTTTCATTATACCGCAATGTACTTTTACTAGTGTTTGTTATTTGTCTTGCATTTTAAACCCCCAACACACCCTTCTCCTTGTGTGCGCTGACCCTGGGCAGCTTCCCAACTCCCTGCTGTGACCTACAGTCAGACAGGAAGATGCTCAGGGGTTATTTATTCATCCATATGAAAGGGTAGCAGCGGAGACTAGGGGACCTGCTAGTTTACTAAGTTATGTCCTTCCAAACTAACAAACCTTGTGTAGAAATATTAGCATCAGCCCTAGACCTCAACTTTCTGTAGCTGGCAAATCAAAGGACTCAAATTTAAATCCAAATTTTCTCATCTGTACATAATTGTTTTTCCATGCCATGCTGCCTCCAGGAAGCCTTCTCTTACTGCAAAGTACTCTGACCTGGAAGCACTATTTTAGAGTTCTGACATTTTCTTCCTTTCCTTTTCACTTTTTCCCCCTGTATTTACCATTTGTTTGATATTAACATATGAATATATGCCATACAGCTAATGTGTATGTCTTCAGTTAGACTATAATCTTCAAAAAGGAGAAGAAGTGATATATTGTCTTTTTATAGCCCAGATAGTGCAAGGTCATCTATATGAAATATTAGAAAAGCATTTGTCAGTGATTTATTTCATTCTTACAAGATCATTAGCAAAACATTCATATTCCCCCCTTTAAAACGGAGTCAAAGATCTGTACCTCAAAAAGATTTGTAGAGAATAGAGTTTAATATTTTACCATGACGTGGTTCTGGTCCAAAACCTATGTCCACGAGTGAAGAGGTTATGTTTGCACGGTGAGTGACCTTAAGATACTGACATAGGTGTGATTCCAAAGAGGGCCTTCAAATTTTCAATATGCTGTTACTTTTAATGCCCATGAGACAGAAAACAAAAGGTATTTTTAAGCAATGTGTAAGGATTGGCCAAAAATCAAGTAAGAGTTAAAGTTTTTAACTCTTTTTTTGCTCTGTTATGTTCTGTTTTGATTTTCTTTCCTTTTCTTTTTTTTTTTTACTCAGTGGATTAATGCTGGGATGATTGCACAGGTAAAATCATGTGGTCATTTTTATAGGTGCAAGAAATGTTTTAAGTTCTAAAAATAATCTAATAATAATTGTCCTAGCAGGTAATGAAAATGAATTTCTAGTCATTTTACTTTTACGGATATGTTATATAATTTAATTTATGAACAAGCACAGCTAAATATTTTCACAGACTGAGCACATTTATGTCACCAGCATCCCAGTCAAGAAACACTATCACCATAACCCCCTCTTGCTGAGTAGTTTTCAGTTTTTCCTCTCCTGTGAATGCTGAAATCTACAATTGGCATTCATTCTGCAGATTCAACCAACCATGGATGGAAAATGTTTGGGAAATAAAGTTGCATCTGTACTGAACATGTCCTTTCCTTCTTGTTATTCCTAAATACTATGATATAAAAACTATTCACATTGCATTAACATTCTATTGGGTATCATAGATATGATTTAAAGTACTACAATTAGATATGATTTAAAGTACTATAGGAAGATTGTGTGTAAATCCTACCCCAGTTAATATAAGGAACTGAGCATCTTACCAGGGGTCCTGGCACCAATTCCCTTTGGATACCAAGGGACAATTGTATATGTATTTTGGTCAATACACATGTGACTCTCTGTTGGGGATTCCTAGGAAAGGAATTGATGAATCAAAGCGCATGCACACATTTAGTTTGCAGAGGGTGCATTGGTTTGCTGGGTAGCAAATCACTATGAGAGGTCCAGAACCACAAGGGTTGGTTATTTCAGTTTTCATGGGTAAGGAGTTTGGTGACTTTTAGCTGAGTTCTCTACTCAAGACCTCACAAGCTGAAATCAGGGTACAGACTGCTGCATCCTCATTCAGAGGCATGGGCTGGGAACAATCCACTTCTGAGTACATTTAACTTTTTAAAAGAATTCTGTCCCTTGTGGGTTTAGACTTGAAGTCTCTGTTATCTTGCTGGCTGGTGAACCAGATTCATGGAAGCCTTCAGAAACTCACAGCATGGCTCCCTCTATTAGTTCTTACACACTCTCACCCTTCAAATATCTTCCTTAAGGAAGGGACCAAACTCTTTTTTAGCTCTGATTAGGCCAGGCCCACCAGAATAAT